ATTATCTTTATAAAACTCATCTCCTAAGGTCTTTAAGTCTGAAATGCACACCTGTGTATACACTCACATATATCTCAATGCAGCTGATGTCCGAATCTAGGAACAACCTTTTTATTTTTAAAGTAAACAGTCTCCTTTAATACTTCCATTCTCAACACAAAGAATGGGTAAATATAATATAGTCTATTTTATAAAAGATTAGTTAAAAAAAAATACAGCTCAGTGAAGACTTCTGCTGCCTGGGCACTGGGACACTTCTCAAGGACCACTTATCGGGGACAAGACAGGGCCAAAATCAACAGCTTTCCATTGAGCCACACCTCCACACCCTGATTTCTTAATGGTTTTTGGTGGCTAATGTGAATAACTGGCAAATTAATTTTTAATTAATCAGCAATCAGTGACATCAGCAATTACATTTCCTGCTCAAAACTCCAGTCTAATTTTTAACTTCACAGTCAACAAATGATTCAAACTAGTATTGGTTGTTACTTCTTCAATTATAAACAAGAAAGAAGTCAATCAGCTGCAATTTGATTGAAAGAAGTCAATTAGTGCAGACTCCATTCTTCTCATACCTATGATGGGGATCAAACGCTCCTCATCCAGGGGGGACAAGGAGAAGAAAAAACTCTTGATAAGTCTTGCAAATGTGACTTAATAGCAGTTTTAAATTTTGGTTTTCTCTGTTTTGGCACAGTGGTATTTTAGAAAAATGTAAATCAATGTATTTTCACATTCCATTATCTCCAAAAATGCATATTCATATATTACTTGGAGAATATGCCAAAGCACATCTTTCAAAAAACCATTTCCTTTATCCTCAGAGACATATTGAAATCTACTTTCATGAAAAGACCTCCTTTCTCATAATATTCCTGTGACTTCCAATCAAATCCCAAAGTCCTTCTGATCACCATTATAAACAATTATCAGAAAAGAATTTAAGTATAAATTCCCAGTCACCTTAGGAATTTCTGGCCTTATCACAAGTCTCTTTACATCAAAAGGAAGGAAAAAAAGCACTCTAGTTACCACAGTAACACCAAGTCACAATGGTTTTGGTCTGCCATTAAAAAGGATGCCAAGAGCTGGATATGGTGGCACAAGTGAAATCCCAACACTCAGGAGGCTAGGGGATCATGAGTTCGAGACCAGCCTGTACCATATAACTATATAATGACAAGAGGGAGGGAGGGCAGGAGGGAGGAAGAGGACAAATTCCACAGGTCAAATAAGCTGCTCAAAAAGAACTCCAGCACACAAGTCCTAAAACACCTGTGATCATGGTGGTAACTTGTAGCCACACACCAATAGGATGTTTCAGGAGTAAGAGTGCTGAGGGAAAAGACAGCATGAAACCTGCCTTCCAGTCATGAACAGACTCAAGAAAAGCACATTTCTGAAACCATCCACACCCAATCTTGGTTCAGCAGTTATAACTCAGCAACCATTGTTTGAAGTGGGCTCCTGCCAAATGGGTGAGAAAAGGTGCAACTGCCACTTTCGGGGCTAGCATTCATGGCTCATAGCTCCAAGCCAGTAGCAAAGTCTAAAAAGCCTAAGAGCACAGTTGGGCATGGTAATGCACACCTATAATCCTAGCACTTAGGAGATAGAGGAGATGAATCCCAACTTCAAGGCCAACCTGGACTACATAGCAAGACTGACTCAAAACCAAACAAATGTCTACAAGAGCAGTCTTCTTCAAGAGCAACTCAGTGACACAGGTTGCTTAGGGGAGGTATTTTAAATAACTCATGTGACTTCATCTTCTCATTATTTAAATCCTTCTCTACAGTCCCTCTTGGCCTCATTCCCCACTGTGCAGTGTGAGTTCCCAACTCCCAGACAATGGAGAAAGAAAAGCAGAGCTCAGTCCTTGTTCTTTGTTAAAGGAGAATCCCTCCTTTGACTAGTATCACTCCACACCATGCTAGATGCCTAGGTAGGAAAGGCTTCCAAGCTTTGCTGCTAAAACCTGCTCATCAACCTGCTCATCAACCTGTGTGGGAGGAGCAGGTGCTGAGGGCTAATGCCTCCTCCTTCCCTTCCAAGAGTTCCAAGTCAGCAACATTTTCCAGCACCACGGAGACCAGGCTATGTGTGCAGACCACTCTCATTCTCAACTCCCACGTGATCACATCATCCTGGGAGCAGGCCATCTCTTGCAGGCCCTGGAAACACTGTGAAATATGGAAGGAGATGCTTGCCTTAATTAAGATATTTATCCCCCAAACTATGCTGAATCCCAGGCCACACAGTCATCTGGAGTTTTCTCTTGTTTCAATCATTTTCTTTTTTTTTTTGGTGGTACTGGGCTTTGAACTCAGGGCCTACACATTGAGCCACTCCACTAGCCCATTTCTTTGTGAAAGGTTTTTTCGAGATAGGGTCTTATGAACTGTTTGCCTGGGCTGACTTCGAACCTCGATCCTCCTGATCTCTGCCTCCTGAGTAGCGAGGATTACAAGCATGAGCCACTGGCACTTGGCTCAGTCATTTTCAAATAACATTTTCTGGAAGATTTCTGGGGAAACTCCAACTGGCCTCTCAGCACTACTGCTTCTTGCAATATGTAAGCTTATGGTGTTTTGTTTTGCTCTGTTTTTTGCAGGGCTAGGAGTTGAACCCAGAGCCTTATGTACGCTAGTAAGTGCTCTATACCTGAACCGCACCCGTAGCCTCTACAGTGCTTTTCCTTTAATTTTGCTTTATCAATAATAGTTACTGCTATACTGGCATCTTCTTGTACCTTCTTAAACCACCACCAGAACCTGAAATAATTCCTATAAACTTAAGTTCAGAGATTACGTGATGTGCCTGGTCTCACAGCTGTACCCCTGAATACATTTTAATAACAAACCTACTTACTAGCTGTAACTCTACTTGGCCTGCCTGTGTGTGCTGCATGCAGGAAGGGGACCTTTACTCAGTATTTGTCTCATAAAAAAAGTGGAAAGTAAAATTGGTTCTCCAAATTTGGTTAAATCAGAGGGACTCCTGAAAATTTCTAACCAGGTATGGTAGCTCACACCTATAATCCCAGCATCCAAGAGGCTGAGGCATGAGGACCATTAATTTAAGGCTAACTTGGGCTACCCACCAAGAACCTGTCTTTTGTTTGCTTATTTGAAATCAAGTGTGAATTTATTAGGAAAAATTCTTTCACAATAAAATCTGCATAGGAAAAAATCAAACAAAAAACAAGTGTAACAAAAACAGACAAACTTCTAAATTTGATACTAGCAAACTCTAAGACCTGTTCTATGTTTCTGTGAAAACACATTCTATCCAAAATCAGTGTTTAAGGCAAAGTTGGAAAATGGTTAAGCCAAACAACATTTCTATTCATTCTTTTGTCTGTTCCATCAGCACTCCTTTATGGAGGAGTCTGAAGTTTTCACGTAAATCATACAGTTCTAAAGGGTGCGTTCACACATGCTTCCTAAGCCTGTGGCCTGGTGGAGCTGGGTATGGACCATGTGGGGCTTCCCAACCACTGGGATTGACTCAGGTCCAAAAAACTCAGCCAATCACAATCTTTCCTGAGATTTTTTTTTTCCTTTGGTGGTATTGGGGTTTGAACTCAGAACCTTGTGCTTCCTAGGCAGGTGCTATACCACCTGGGTCACTCTATCAACACAAATGACTCTTGTGTTGGGTATTTTCTTTTTAAGACTACAAAAGCCAAAAAAATAATTGTCCAGTCATATCAAGTCAGTAAGAACTACAGCATTAAAAATCATCCATAATATAGTGTACATAACTCAAGGGGAAAGTGAGAACTGATCTATAAGAACATGACACACACAAAAGATTTCACAGGCCTATACCCACTCTATCAGTATCTTGGGCAGATCAGAAAGGACATTTATTCTGTCCTGGCCTGTTCACATACAGTGGATCCCTACAAATATGGAAAAAAAAACCCTGAAAATCCTCAAAAATATCTGAAGGCTGTGCACGGTGGTATATATCTGTAATTCTAGCTATTTGGAATGTAGAGATAGGGAGGATTGAAGTTTGAGGTCAGCCTAGGCAAAAAGTTAGTGAGGCAATCATTTCAACAAATAATTTGGGCATGGTGGCATGCACCTTAATCCCAGCTATGTGGGAGGTTTGGATAGGAGGACTGTGGTCCAAGGTGAGTCCTGGGCAAAACTGAGAAAGCTTATCCAAAAATAACTAAAGCAAAAAGGGCTGGAAGTATGGTTCAAGGGATAGAGCACTTGCCTAGCAAGCACAAACCCTTGAATTCAAATCCCACAATCAAGAAAAAAGTCTGAATATACAGATTAGTGCTTAGAGCAGAAATGAGAGGTGAAAGACACAGGATTTTAGGAAGTCATTCTCTTACAAAATTCTTATTCCACAGACACCAGATGGATGGTTCGGCATTATTTCTTGAGAACTTTCTTCAGCAGAATTACCCAGTTGTGAAAGTCCAGATCTTTCTCACTGTTCAAACATGGATGAATGCACAATTCTTCTTTTGAGAGAGAATTATGCTAAAAATTAGTGTTGCATAAATACCGTTACCTTTTCTGGTGAAAAACTCCTTGGAGTATTTCCCCAACATAGCGTATTTTCGAGGGACTTTCCCCAGCAGTTCAATGATCAATGCTATGTGATCTGCATTGGGAAACATTGCCAGCAAAACAAAACACGACAGTTTAATCAGTACACTGCATGCAGACTCTACTACCGCCTGCGCAGACAGAAACCAAGCATGGCTGGAATGATCATATAGCCAGACTCAGGACCCAGAGCTGAAGGGCATCCAGCTGTCCTGGGAACATGGAGGGGCCAGTGTACAAGGTAACCACAGCACAGGCCAAACTCGATCTTCCATCAGTGTTTAAATCATCACAGGAATTCTGCTGGATTGCTTTTGGAATTTAGAAGAAATGTCTTTGTCATCATTAATGCTTCAATCAGCAGCTGCTATTCTGTTTCTGTCTGCATCGAGGCGTTTTTTCAAAAAGAAGAGGTACTACCTCTGCGATTGAAGAATTCCCGAGAATATTTTCCAGACAGAGCAAAGTGCCTTGGGATACTGCCTAGCAGCTCTATGATGTGGGCTATGTGGTCTATGGAAAAGAGAAAAAAAGGATATGGGAATGGGAGGGGCAAGGAAAGGATGGGATAAAAGAAGAAGGAAAAAAGTGAAATTAGTAAAAAATCAGAAACAGATTCAAATCAACAATGTCTGCAGCACATCCATGCAGAGGCTTGTGGGACTGGCAGGCCTCAGGCACCATTTTGTAGTACCAACAGTGACTGAAGCCAGCTCACCCCAGGCCACCCCAGCATTGCAAGCAAGTAAGCATGGAGATGGTCAGGTTTACAAAAGGAATTCAAACCAGAATTCCCTGGTTTTCCACTCAGCTCCCAAACAGGACAATAAAATGAGCAGCAGAGCCATAGACAAAGAACCACAGAGAAGCTTTCGGGCTTATTCAGTCTGCCTTCCCTGCAGGATGGGTCCTACACTGATGAAGGCCAGAAGGAGAAGCAGCTGAGGTCCCAAAGGCTCTCTGAGTGCTGTCAGGCAAGTGCTGCCCATTTACTGAGACTGAGGGACTTTAAACTCAAAAGAAAAGTGTCTGAATTTGGTATGAAAATCAAAACATGGCTTATTTCAGTCCCCAAACACAATATCCCCTAGAAGTTCAGGAGGAGCAAACCCAGACTGAAGTATTTAGCAATGCTCACCTTCATCTCTGGAATAGTCTTCCCCAGAATGTGGTTCAAACAAATAGTCTCCTGTTGCCAGCTCGAATGCCTAGGGTACAACAGATGACATGCTGAGCACTTCAGAGATGGCCAAGCCAGCAACTTTCTCTCCTTATAGAAGGGATGTACATTTTATGAGGATTTCAACTCAACCAAAGAGCTTCCTAAAACAGCTCAACCCCCTACTTTTTCTTTGCTCCAAAAAGCTCAAAGAAGCTGAAGGAATATTTTTACATCTCTCCTAATGAAGATATAAGGGCTGTATATCTTCACAGCACATGAAGTAGAACCAAACTGTCAGTGAGTCAACAGCACTGTGTGCAGGCCTGCTTGCCCCACATTAACACATTCTGTACAAGGTGGAATAGGAGTTCAATCCAGGATTTAACCAGGTTGTCTAAGTCCAGGGTCTGCCTTTACCACCAAGTTCACTTGGCCCCTATATAGCAGATGTTGCTGCTTTCTTTAAGCAAAAACCTCCAGTCATTAGTAATCAAAGAGTACTTTCACCATTACATCTTCTACTTCATCATCATTTCATTCATTTCTGAGTCAAGCAAATGGAAACCTATAAGCAAAAAGGACCCCCTTCCTCTGTCCCTGGGACCAGGTGAAGCAAACAGCACTCTCCAAACCCTCCTGAGGCTGTCAAGGACAGCTGATCCCTGAGTTGCTATCTGTAATTCTACGAGTTGCCCCAGCATGCCACTGTGTAGGGAAGGGCATTTATTTCCATTTCCCCTGCTCAAAGACAAAGCTCAGAACCATGAGTTTAATTTTATGACAATATGTGAAAAGACAGCAACTGCTATTGCTCTGCTAATCAAATACCATGTTTTAAACTTTTTCAAAAAGTATGTTAAATTCCATTTCTAGTTTATCCCTTACTTACTGCTACTCTGGTTGAACTCCTCTTTCTTTGTTCATGCAGTGACCAAACCAACTCCCTACCCTCTCAAGAAGGGAAAACCCTCCCACTCCTGCTCAGGAGCCATCACTGCATCAGACCAACTCTCTTCCTTCCTTTCAATGACCAAGTGCTGGTAAGGCTCTTCAAAGGACAGCTCATCTGCCTGATGAGGGTCAACACTGTCTTTAACAAACTAAAAGTGGCATAATCAGTCTAGGACCACACCTTTTCACACAATACTCTCCCCCCACCCCTTTTAATGTGGACCTATGAATCATATCTTGCTGAAACAGGAGGAGTAGGGTAAGAAGACTATTGCCAGTTGCTGAGATGATGAGTACCAGATCATAAACTCAAAGCCCTGAGCCAGATCTGGGTAGATCAGGATATGGCCATGTCAGTCTCAACAGAAGGAGAGCCAGCTCTTCAAGAGCTGCAGATGCTCAATGGCACCAGTAGAGCGCCTGGCAGGGCCCCACATGGGGCCTCTCCTCTCCACCCAATAAACAATCATGGCAGCAGGACCAATCCCAGATCAGGCAATTACAATTTAGCTCCTAATCCAAGTGGAATGACTACATTACATAATAGTCAGAAGAGTCTTTTTAGCCTGCAAAACAATTACTTCAGTAACTGGTAAGCCAGGAGGAAATTGTGAAACCCCTAACAGGAGGAAGGCAACAAGATGCTACTTGGATGGCAGTCCTAAGGACAGTTCCAGTTGTGCCTTAGCCCCTTCTTTATTCCTGTGCTCTTTTAATTAAGGCTCAGAAATACTCTAATCTGACTGTACATGCTTATTGCCTAATACCAAGATATGTAGGTTAAAGATGACCAGCAGTCATCTATTTACAATGAAATGCTTAAAGAAGCCAATCAATGAAATGATTTTTAAAGAAGGAGAGAGAAGATGGCGGTTCCCCTGTAATACCTAGTTCTGGTTCTCTGGAGAGTGACTGGGTTTTCTTAACAAGTATGACATGCACAATAGGAAAAAAACATGTTACAAAGAAAACATGGGCCTCAGTGTCACAAAATGCTTTTGTGGTGGCATCTATGAAAATAGGAAACATTATTGTTTTCAACTCAGTAATTTATTCCCAACTACACCTTTGTTTTTAATACTTGGGAACTTTGGATTCTTTCTTTCTTTCTTGGCCTAGTCCCTTGGAGCTTTCCCGAACCAACCTTTGTTGGTAGGTTCTTGGGAGTTCAGGTGGCTCTTTCCTGAAATGCCTTTCGGTGTTCAAGTACTCAGTTCTAAATAAACAAGGTCACCTATTTGTTTCATAATGTACCCAGCTAAAGAAGTTTGTCAGAGTGGCCTTTTTTGATTCTGATCACTGACCAGGACTCACCAAAGGGTCCATAAAAAATCAGATACTCAGGGACTTGAATGCAGAGGAGCAGAGTCTCAGCCCACAGAGAATTTTTAGGTAGGACATTAAACATTTATATCGGAAAGGTCCCAAAGCTCAAGGAAAATATCCAACAACTGACATATCCTCATTATTCTGCCTCATTTTGTTGTGCTTCTCCATGTACAGAACATAAAAAATCTCCTTCCTGACAGTAGTCAGGGCACCTGCCACCACCCATTAGGTCTCATTTACAACTCTGTCAGATTTGATGTTATTTAGAAAACTATAAGGACTATGGGCTTTACCACCAAGAACAATCTATGGCCTTAAAGCTTGGTATTATATAGTCAAATTTAATATATTACAGTATTCCCAAGCTTCAGCAAAGCAGTAGGGGGACACTGTTTCTTTGCCATGTTCTCGAGGAAAAACAAAGGACCTCTCAAGACATGATCTTTGAGAAGGAAATGAAGGCTTGGTGACTGTAAAAGCCCCCCTTCAGGGTTTGTTTGTTTGTTTATTTTGCGGTACTGAGGTTTGAACTCAGGGCTTCACACTTGCTAGGCAGGCACTCTACCACTTGAGCCACTCTACTAGCCCTATGTGTTGTTTTTTTTTTTTTTAAACTAAGAAATATTGCAAGCACTCTGTAAATGTCACAATGTACCCCCCAGTACAATAATATGATAATTTATAAAAAACCTGACAATCAGCTGATTTGAAAGAAACCATGTTGCGCTGGGAAGGGCCTGGGTACAATCCCTGGAAAGGGGTAGGTGAAGAAGACAGCTGCTTCTCTTCGGGGTCCTGTGATGTATTTACCTAATACAGTTCACATCAACAGCACTGTAAGAGGGTAGAGGATGAGGGGTGTTTATAGGGGCAAATCATAATCTAATGGGAGGCAAGACAGACAACTTGGTATAAGATTATACGAACAGCTGTACCATTATCCATGTATCTGTGATTTCTGTCCTATTTTTTCTGGTTATATCACCAAACTTAATATCCAAAATTAGAAGCATAGTACTTCAGAGCTAAAAGAGTTCTCAGAGCCTAATTCAGGGCAGCCCTGATATGTGGCCTTCTGTGTTGCTGGAGACAAAGGCTGCTTGGCCTCGCCACCTCCTGAAATGGGGCTTTGCTCCCCCGCTGTCTGACTATTCCAAGCATTACCTTTCCACTGACCTGGCCTCTTCCTGCTGCTGCATCCAACCTCCTCCTGCACTCACACTGCAAGGCAAATAAATGCCTCTTGATACAGCAGTTTCTAAATTCAAAGTAACCATTGCTATGTCTGCCACTTCTTCACTTCTTTCAACTGTACCTTGCTGAGGCAGGACCTTGATTTTTTGCAACTCACTTAAAAATGTGAGTTTTTAGTAATTTTTAAATTATGACCTGGTATGACCCATAAGAGCAACAAGGGAATAGAAAGGCAGTGGTTTCAGAGCTATTTAGCTGTATCTGTCATGTCAGACCAAGCTAACTTGAAAGATGCAAAACATCTACTTTTTTTTCATATCACTTAACATTATCTGCTTAACACAATGCTTTCCCTTTAGCATAAGAGGACCTAAGACAGAGTAAATTCAAAAGAATTGCTAAAGTAGACTCCAAATAACAGAAAATTATCATCTTTATTCTACACTGCTCTTTTACAGAAAGAAAAGCACTGAGACTTACAAGGGAGACTTTTTATTTAGATATGTGAAGAGAATTTTGATTAAAAAAAATAATACAAGGGCTGGTGATGTAGGCTTAACTGGTAGAGGGCCTGTCCAGCATGCATGATCCCCATTGCAAAAAAAAACTGGACAAGCATAGCACTACACTAAGCCACATGCACACACACTACCTCTTCCAGCAAAGAAACAACAAAGTAAAGCCCACTAAAAGGAAGGTGCTGAACTGGCTAAGAGCCAGAGCAAGAGAGACACTGAAAGTGGCTCATAGATGAGAGACGACTCATTCACACTCATCGACTCATAGGTCTGGACCAAAAAGCACAAGGCACTGCTGTAGCTGGGGT